ATATATGAGAAGAGATCATTTTACTCCATGAGTAAGTCTACCTAAATTTACTCCGTTCAATAACTCATATTCTATAGCAAATTTAATAATTCAACCGTTCAATTTAAAGTTCTTAATGTATAGATAAAATCTGAAAAATTTTAAAAAAAAATTAAAAATCATTTGATACTTCTTTTCATTAATTTGAATCAATGTATAAAATGATTTTACGATTATATGTCAATTTGAAATAATAATGAAGTATCAAATGGTTTTCAAATTTTTTAAAAATTTACAAATTTGATATATGTATTAAGAACTTTAAATTTAATAGTTGGATCGTTAAAATTTGATGTAGAACATACGTTATTGAACGAAATAAGTCTAGATTTACTCCTAGCATGAAAAAATCCATCTTTTATATATATATATATAATGATAATATATAAAGGATGATATTATCATGATTTTTTAATAGAGTTAATGACGTGTTGAAAACTTTCGGATCAAACACCATTATCTACTTAGTGTGTGTTTAGATAAAAAATGAGTTTAACTCAATCCACCACTTTTACTTCAAAATAATAATTTTATTATTTTTAGATTTTCATGCATTCGAAAGTAAAAATAAACATTTCAATACTTTGAAACAAATATATAAACATACCTTTAATGGTTAACCAAAACTTACTCATATTCAATTTGATCCAGAAATTTATTTGTCAACTTGAGTACATGAAAGTTATCTAATACATATACATTTGATAAGAACCAAAATAATACATATATTTACTATACTAGTAAAAAAAAATCATATTAATATCTTTTTTATTTATAAGAATTTTAATAACGACAATATAATTCAAAGTTAGGATCATGTAAAAGGGATTTTATGTTTTCATGTATATATTATTTATTTTTTACCATTTTAACCTTTGAAATAAAAATAAAAATAACTGAATAATAGTAGTTAATAAAGGTCATAGAAATCTTTGTGTAAAAGCTTTATTCATAAAATTGTTATTGAATAATAATAACCATTAACCGCATACTATTCAACTAACCTATCTATTCAAGTGGCCAAGAGAGACAAAATGCCTATTTTGCCACCAATAATAATAATAATATGCGTATTATTAGTATATTAAAAGATCAATTAATAAATATAAATATATTATAAGAAGTTTAATTAGAAATATATTATATTATTATTGAGCATTTTTTTCTTTTGCATATTTTAGTCAATAAAATTGATATTTATACCATATATTTTTAATTTACTTTCTTAGAATATATTTATATCTTGTGTAATATATTTATAATTTTACAAATATATATTAATACATGCTTTTAATAAATATAAATATACTAAATACAAATATAAATATATTATAAGAAATTTTAATTAGAAATCAACTTTTATATATTAAATATAAATGATTATCTTACGTAAAATACTTTTAGTGATAATTCTTTGATGGAAGTGTTTTTAAAGATTCTTTTAACTCCTTATTTAACTCAATTTTTATCATACTTATTTATATATTAAAATTTAATATTCTAAAATAAATTATCTATAATTTTGTACTAATATAAATTATTTATCTGAAATTGAAAACATAGTTTATATGTTAAAAACTATCTATTTAAATAAATTTTAAATATAATTAATATATTCAAAGTATTTATTTGAATATATAATTTATTATAAAATTTAGTTATAAATAAGAAACATTTGATATGTGAAATGTAGATTCTAAAATACTAGTATATGATATAAGTATTGAGCATGTAATTAACATATTTTAGTCACTAAAATTTATATTTATATCATATTTTTCTAATTAACTCTCCTATAATATAATCATATCTTATTTAATACTATTTATATTTTTATAAACGTATATTAACATATACTGATTTAAATTTATTAAACTATTATGTTATCTATAAATATACTTATATTATTAATAATATTAATTTATAAATAAATATTATTATTATTAATGGTAACGCAGGAAGATCAAATCATCGATTTACATTAATGTAACTTTTATCAATTATTACATCAATTAATATCTTTCAATTGTATGGTATTTTTTAAAAAGCTTAAGATTTTTTTTCTCACCTGTATCATATATACAAATTTTTATATATAAATAAAAATATTTGATATTTTATTTATATAAATCTTTATCAACGTAATATATAATCTTCAAAAATATACTAAAATATAAGTAATTTGATTATCTTTTTATTGTTGAATTTTAATAAAAATTTGACAGATATTTATAGTAATATAAAGTTATAAATCAAATTTAAAGTTATTAACTTGTGTAATAATGATTAAAAAAATTATACTAATATAATTTGATTTCTGACCATAGTAATATTATTTTCAAATTTTGCTATATTTTTAACTATTTATTTGGTCCATATAATTGCGCAAATCTTATCCTTTAATTCCTACACTAAAAAGTATCACTTACTTTTAATCCTTATACAAACAATTTTTAATTAATCCTTATACAAACAATTTTTAATAATCTTTTGGTCTCTATCAAAAAATATAGTGTTGTTAACAATGGATGAGATGGCAGTAACATATTGCTAATAGTGATCAACCAAACTCTTTAACAAAAAATAGTTAAAGATAAAATCAAAATATTCTATACCAATATAATTATAAAAAAAATATTAAAATATAATATTTAAGAGCAAGGGTTATTCGTGGTAAATGGTAAAGGTTCAATGCTCATTTAATGTTTAACATTGATAATTTCATTTTTATTCACTTATCACGTCATTACACCACCATATTACCAACATATCAATTTTTTTTAACATTTTCCGCATCAACAACACTTAATTTACAATGTCACTCATTAATGTTGCATTAGCAAACATCGATTTAGAAACTAAAATTTCGAGTTATAATGGACTAAAATCACAGAAGTATTATTATAATTGTTGAAAGACTAAAAATACTTAAATCTAATAACTATTATTTGAAAAACACTCATCTAATTACTATTCGAAAACATTAATCTAACCCGGCCGTCATACATGCATTCTCACTTGTACACATTATTATATTCAATAAAATTGATCATAGCAATAGCATACAAGGAAAAATTAAACGAATTACATGAATAGTCGATGTTAGAACACGAACGGGTATGAAATAATTGGGACATGTTCCATTCAATTTCAAAATCCCGAGCGCATACAGCTGCAAATACTTCGAGTTTAAATAACACGGTATGGTCAATTTATGCATAGTAAGAGTTTAAAATAAAGTAAAAATGGGAAAAATAAAAGTATAGTGATTCCAAATATGATGTGAGGGGAAATAGCAAGGGACGTGATACTAAGCAGTCGTGGGACAAGCTCCATCAGCAGAAAGCAATCTTTCCCCTTCACTCACAGTCACAGCCAACTAGTAGCTATCAAAACTCATTCAACACCCATCATCATCATCATCATCATCATCTCATATAATGATGCTCCTAAAACAGGATGGAACATGACCCCAAAGATTTTAAAAAGAAGCTAAGGGGAATTCAGGGGAACAAGAACAAAAATCCCCAGATTAAAGCAAACTACCATCCATCCCACCATCACAATAGGAACATTAAACCCCATATAAACAAGTAATCACAAGAGTAATGCTACTAGCTCCAAACACAGAAAAATATAAATGCACCTTTTCCGTGCCATTTTATCATTTGGTGTTTTTTCTGTTTTATAAAAAGGTATTTTCTTCCCATTTCTCAACCATGTTATCCTAGATACCTCATGAGAAATCATGTCCCACTGCCATATGTAAAAATTGAGACCATGATCCCTGCTTCCTGCTTCCCTCTGAAGAATATTCTTCAAAAAAATGTTTTAAAGAACATCTGCAGCTCTAATTTCTTGCAGAAATAGAATGATCTGAAACTTGAATACCAACTTGACTACCGGTACCCTCGCTAGTGGAAAGCATATATTGACTATTCAAATCCCCAAAAGGTCTATTCTGTGAAGCAGCATCTAATACTCCAGCATCATCATTGTTGGTTGTTTCCAGAGCAATGCTTTGGACTTGTTCTGCCAGCTGTCCAATGGTTTGAGAACCTCTAACATTAGGAAGTTGATCAGCAGGCATGATCCATCTCCTCCAATCATTTCGTCTCCTTATTTTGTCACCCTATAATTGAAGATTAATAAATTTAAAATATAAGAGATTTAACAATCTGGTATAACACAAACAATACACGATATATTGTGTTTACTCAAATCTTAAAACATAAATTCAAGGCAAGCTTAAGATAAATACCTGAACTTCAACAACAGATGAAGTTCGAACAGCATCTAACACAATCTGGATATTGTCAGTCAAAAACTTAACCTAGGACAAAAAACAATTGTCATCTAATGGTCAATGATGCTTTAAACGACAAATCCATCATGGAAAAATTTGTGAAAAACAAAACTTGGTCAGAATGGTAATTGAAAACTTTAGGAAAAAGACAAAGAATCACAGTATATAATAAACTCTACCATACTACCCCACATTATATAATGTCTGCTTTACAAGTGAGTCCAAAAAATCAAACACGAGGCAAACACCTTAAAAAAATTCATACACATTTTCTCATCCATTGCATTTCACCTGTCAATAAATATCAAATTTTAAAAAATTCAGCAAGTACAGTGTCCATACAAATTATGAAACACTCACAGAAATGAGTGGGCAGTTTAATCTTAATCTGATGATTTAATTTTCTAGATCACACTTTAGAGGTCCTCTATCCTTACTATGTTTATATCAGGTTTTACACAACATACGTTTCCAAATTAAGAAGATTCAATTAAAGACTTAATGGAATTAAACATAAACCTATAAACAGTGAACATTACAGATAATGGTAAATTTTACCAAAGCAAAATTTTGATTCACTCAAGTCACCTCACAACCATAAAGTACATAGTGGTCCACACTCCACACTTACTGAGTGGAACATTACTCTCAAGACCATAATTAAGTTATTGCAGGTATAACATTTCTATTATAGTCAGTTATCATCACCATCATCTACTAATACAATTAAAAGATCAACTTCAAAATTCCAAGAAAAGAACACGGGTGAAAACTAATGATCAAAACTAGCTTCATAAAAAAAGGATTTAATTCTAGCAATAGTCATGGATATATATTCATGTATATTTTCATTCAATTATTCATACATGTTTATAATCACTATGTAAACATTTCTATTAATTACTAAAATAGAAACCTAATTGTGAAAGATTCCATCTTTTACATCACAAGACATACCTAAAAAATGTAGCACTTACCAAGCACTAAATGGTAAAACATCAGCACAGAGATGGTTACTATCATAACCCATATAATACACAGATTTCAAAATGAATAATGATCTTAAAGAGAAAATTCATTTTTTATGCAGAAACAATGTTCACTGATAAAATGTTCGGAACTCTGCAAGCACAAGGAGACAAAAAACTTGCAACACAAAAACATGTGCTATCACTGTTTTTGTGATCCCATTTTGTCATCAATCATTATCCAATAATATAATTGCTAAGAAAGCACCCAAACAATACAACAGAAAGATTCAAGTAAATGATAGAGGGTGATAATGAGAAGTAATTTATTCCATAAACAGTTAAATTATTTGTATAAAAAAATTTTAAAAAATGCAATTTAGTGTTAGTCAGCTATAAAAACAATCAAGCAACCAACTTCAAAGAAATAAAAAAATCTAATACCCCCAATAACTTACTTTCTTGAAGCCTGCTATTAAACTTATAGGAACCCAGCCTTGGTCATCCATTTTACGTCGTAAGAATAAATCTTTAACTAAATTTTCATTACTGCAAAAACAGAATTTGCGGTGAATCTACAGTCAACTTTCCAAAACAAAATGAAAATAAAGACTGACCATAGTGTAAGCACTACCTGAAATAATAGTTAATCTGGTTGACAATCTTAGCATGCAACTGAGTGTCCGGAGGTGGAAAATACATTGCATTAGGTGGCATTGGAGACATATAAGAAACACCTCTAAATGATTCCAGGGCTGGAGGTGGAACATATACCATCTGAGGATGTAGTTCTACATATACGGACAATCATCAGACCCTATACATAAAAATAAAAGACCTTCTTAGCATTAAGAATAACAACCCATACCATGATACCCATATGATCCCCCATATGGGCGCATTGGAGGTGGTCCTGGTGGATAAAATTGAGCATGATTAGGAGGTGGTTGAGGCCTTATAAATCTCGGAACAATTCTTGGAGACATATAGTTGTCTCTACCATTAAAATTGCGGTGATTGTTCCAGTCATGACCTCGGTCCTGATCACGCCTGCCACCATAGTTATGATGGTGATAGTCCCCGCGCTGATGTGGACCACCGCCATTCCGATGCCTATACGAATTTCGCTGAGGTGGGTGATCATTAGGCACAAATCCAGCTCTAGGTTGATGTTCCTTTGGCGAAGAATTATGGTTGTGGGACCCAGCAGCAGCAACTGAACTTTGAGGCACAGACATTTGTGGCAAAAGGTTACCTCCATTGGAAGAGGTGTTCGAATTGCTGCGCTTAAAAGACTTCTGATGAGCCTGCACAGTATTGTTAGCACTTGCATTGTCCCTAACATGCCTCTGCGGCGAGGGAACCACACTTCCAGAACCCTACAATATCAATAAACACACGTGCATAAATAAAATTAAACACAAAACCAACACACATTCCAGAAAAGGTAAAAGATTAACTCAATTTGCAATCGCCAGCATTATTATTTTAAATTCTAATTTAAAAAGCAAAAAAAAAAAATTACCCAGCATAAAACACTAATAACAGAATCGAGAATTACTAAAAATAATAACAATAATAAAACTCAAAAAACGTATATATTTTTTCTTTTTTACATTCAATACTCGAACAATCAAACAAAAATCGAAGGATAAAACCTGCAATGGCGACACCTCGGAAGAACCCTTAGAGGATTCAGACAGTGACGGTGACGGTGACGGAGAAGTTGATTTCACCGAAGCCCGAGCAGACTCCGACAAAGCAGGCCAGGTTTCAGCGCCCATGACGGAAGAAGAGACACCATTGGAGGGTTTATTCCAGGCAGGCCTCTTCCCGCTATTGACATTGTGGCCAGCACCGCTGTCGGAATCCTCCGCCGGGACAGAATTAACCATGGCGGATTCCACCACAGGCGGTGGCGGTGAAGAGGAAGGAGGCGCGGCGGCGGCGACAATCTGGCTCCACGGCGAGGAGACTCCAGGCTTGGGGGAATGATTGGGAGAGGCACCACTCATAGCCATTGGAATCGGAATCGGAATAGGAATAGTGAGTGTGCGTGTTCGTTAGGGTTAATCTCAATCACAATCAGAGTGTGATCGATGATAAAATAAAAAGAAAAAAAAAATTAAGATTCGGAGAGAGTGTGTTAGGGTTTGATCTGCTCCGATTGCAAGTGGTAGAGGTATTTGGTTTGTTAGAGTGTGTGCATTTATAGGAAGGGGAAGGGGGTGGGGTCACGTTGTTTGTTGTTGTGCTTTTTTGCTCTCTTCTCACTGTGACTCTCTCGGAATCAGAAATACGCTTCCTTCTTATACCAGGTTTTCTGTGACGTCGCACTTTACGCAAATACCCCTGACCGCGAATATATTCTTATCATAATACATCATACAAGATCAAATTACACTGTTTCATTCAAAAAATTAGTTCGGATAAAATATTCTAGTATATCTTCTATATTTTAAATATTTTATCTTTTTAAAAACTGATAATTTTATTTTCCTATCTAAAAAAAATATTCTGTTTAATTTGATATTCCTGTATCAGTATATCAATTTAGAAAAAAAAAACAGAATCATTTATGATTTTAATATGCCTATCATCAAAATACTTGTCTAACTTTTAAGGAAATTAATATTTTTTCTCTTGTATTATAAATATTGATATTCTGTATAAAATTATAGATGTTTTTTATTTTTAAATAATCTAAATTTTTAATGATTATTTTAATCAGTTTAAATTTTAAATTTTGAGATATCATATAAATAAGATCATATGTTTTGATTTTTATAATTTATTTTTTATCCTTTTTAATTTATTATATTAAAAATTTTATTAACAAAAAATTATTCTATTTTTATAAATTTTATTGAAACTTAAAATAATTATACTGAATAGTTATTAATTGTTTACAAAAAATTAGTTATCTATATAAATTTTGATAATTCTTCTTTTGATTTCTATTTTTGTATTAAATATTATTACTCTTAAATTTAACAAAAAAATTTCTTTAAAATTTTTTCCAAAAATATATATAGAGGCGCTGCCTCTTTCGCTACTAGCTAATATAATAATAACAAGTACATGCACAAGTTATGCACATGTATTTGATTTTTTTTCATAAATATGATCAAGTAGTATTTTATTTTAAAATTGACAATTAAAAATTAATCTGTATTTATAAGACATGATTTCTAATGACCAAACATTATTTTAAGTAACACAGATGAAAATAAACACATTTATATGTACTAATAACAACTAATATTTTAGTATGACAATATATAAGATAATTATTTATTTTATATAACTAGATTTATATATATTGTATGTAATTAAAATTTATGATATATTTGTATAAATAGATATTTTTAAATATATAAATTATATTTTAGATTTATAATAAATAATTTATATTATAATATAATATTATTTTTAATGATTAATATTTAAAAAAAATTATATATATAATATTCATATAATAAGAACTTAAAATAACATATTCAAAAATATAAGATATTAAAATAAATATAAAAAAATGTAAATGGATAATATTTTAATTTTAAAAATAAAATATATATTTTAATTTGATATTTAATTATTTTTTAATAATAAGTTATTCATTTGATATAAAAAATACTTATTGATTAAAAAAAAGTTTATCTCTTCACGAAGTACTTAACTAAATGTATCATAAATTTGGACGGAATTTTAAATATTATTTTGTTAATCAGATTAATTTCAAGGAAAGGAGTATTTTATTCTAAAACTGATTACGTACATATACAAAATCTAATTTAATCCTTTCATTAAAAAAATATAATTTAATCTAATTTTTATTATTTAAATTTTTTTATTAATAATAAATTTTTGTTGAAAAATTATATTGGTCACTTTTAGACTACTTTTCAATTATATTTTATCCATTTATATAGCTTGAACTTTACTTGTGAAAATCTGACACAAAATTATTTAATCTAATGTAATTTAATTAATATTTTAGTATATATAATGTATGTAATAATATTTTATTTTATATAACTATAATTTATAATAAATAAATACATTTAAATATATAAATTGTATTATAATTAAAACTTATAAATAATTATTTTAATTTATATTTACACTAATATATAAAAGAGTTACTTTTTTTTAGTAATAATTATCTTTGATCTCCTTATTTGTTGAATCATTATTATTTTTAATTGTTAAGAAAAAATTAAAATTAATATTTTTTTATAATTGTCATCCTTTTTAATAATTACTCACTTTGTTATTTTAATTTATTATTTTTAAATAAATATTAATTTTTAATAGTTATATATATAATAAAAAATTATTAGTTTTCACTTTTCTTAAGACTTATTTATTTATATTTGCTTAATCAAATATTCTATTTTTAGTAATTGCACATTATCTTCTCTAATAACAATCATCATTCAATAATTATCATCTCAATTATCTTTTCACACTAAATAAAATTATTAGCATTATCATTTTAGTAACTTTTGATATTTTTTTATAAATAAATAGCAAAAGTGTTTATTTGTCTCTTTTGTACTATATTATATATAAAAAGATATTGATTGTAATTTCTTTTTCATCTTTACTTTTTTTATACTATTTTATTCCTATAATTATTTCACTGAACTTAATGGTTGGGAGGCATGAGATTGAGATAGTTAGAAACGAGAGAACCTAAAAAAAATTTTACTCACTATTATTTAACTTCTATATTTTATAAATACTATATATAAATGAGATAATGATTATTTTACTTCTTTTTTATTCCACATTTTTTAGATCATTATATCTTATATAATTATTCTACTAATAAACTGATGAGCCGAAAAACTTCACATCTCTCTAAATTTGGCTTAAAAAATATAAAATTTTGTTTAAGACTCTCACAAATCAATATATAATATAAAATTTTGCTTAAGACTCTCACAAATCAATATATACATACATATATATATATATATATATATATATATATATATCTTGTAGTCTATGAGTACGACAAGACTTGTAGAGAAAAAACTAATAGTCAAAACTCATTGTATAAACACTTTGCATTTAGTTTTATCCCATACTTTTTAGATCATTATACTCTATATAGTTATTCTACTAATAAACTAATGAAGTTTAAAATTTTCGTGTCTCTATAAATTTTGTTTAAAATTAATATAAAATTTTGTTTAAGACTCTCATCAATATATCTATCTTAAAGCCTATAAATACGACAAGACTCAAAGAGAAAAAAACTAATATTTAGAACTTATTGTATAAACACTTTCATTTAGTTATAAAAACACTTTGTTAATTTGATTTAGTCTTAAATATGTTTTTAGTCCATCAAATTTAAGACAAATTTATTTTTGGTCTCTCAAATTTAAAACGGTTGTTTTTAGTCCTTGTAATTTTCAAAAATCTTGTTTTAGTCCCTAAGATTACCAATAACATATCTGAAAGTGACAAATTAAGATGGTTATGCAATACTAATTGGATTTAGTGTCATATTTTCACTAACAGAGATACTGATAGGTAGATTTTATGCAATAATGTTTAATAAATTTTTTAACAAAATTTGAATATAAGGACTCTAATAAATTGTTTTAAAATTACAGGGACTAAAAATAAAAATTTTAAATTTGAGAGACCAGAAAAAAAAATTATCCTAAATTTAAGGAACTAAATACATATTTAAGCCTTTAATTTATTATTTTTAAATAAATATTAGTTTTTTTATAGTTTTATATATATATATATATATATATATATATAATTTATTAGTTTTCATTTTTCTTAAGATTCATTTATCTTTAACTTATTTCTCTATATTTGTTTAAAATATTTTTATTTTTACTCATTTGTCATTCTAACCAAATACTTTATTTTTAGTAGTTGCATATTATCTTCTCTGACAACAACCATCATTAAATAATCATCCTTTCAATTATCTTTTTACACTAAATAAAATCACCGACATTATCTTTTTAGTAACTTATGATATTCTTTTACAAATAAATTAAATATGTAAAGGCAAAAGTGTTTATTTGCCTCTTTTGTACTATACTATATATAAAAAGATATTGATTGTGATTTCTTTTTGGTCTTTACTTTTTTTACACCATTCTATTCCTTATTGAAGTTAGCGAAAAACACATAGAAGGGGGGTTGAATATGTGTGTGTGAGTACGAAGGAATTTTAAAACTATTTTCGCAAGAGTAATGTTCTTCGTGCAATGTACTTTTAAATACCAGAAGGTTATGCAGAATTTGCTTAACACAAGGTCACTGCGTCTGAACGATTTATCGATTGCTGAAGGAAAATGTTTCATATAACAGTAATGATTAAGGTTCTTGCATCTCCTTTTCAAGATAGTTTTATTTAAGAATAAGCAATAGATAAAACTTTTTAGTGTAATATATTTGTTAAACAAAATTTGTGTCTTCGTCTGAAAAATGGTTTTAATGAAGAGTAGACAGTAGACGAAATTTTTAACATGATTTGTCAGTTAAGAAGAGTTTGCGTCTGAAATATAAATAAAACATTACAATCATTTTTATACTGGTTCGCTCAACTAAGTTACGTCTAGTCTCCTTCAACTGAAGGGTTCCACTAAATATGCAATTAAGTACAAAAGTATTGTCGACTACTTCTGGCACGTTGACTTCACTCATCAACGCTAGTATCTTCTTATCAGCCTTTTCAAGCTAGCGATGAGTATTATGGACCACCCAGGTCAGAACCACTCCTGGTCCAAGTATTCTCGACCTCTCCAAGCCTTGAGTATTCTAGACCATCCCGGTCACGACCACTTTTGGTCACGAGTATTCTCAACCACTCCTGGTTGGCTAGCTTCACTCACTAGCTCTAGTATTCTTAAATCACTTCTGGTTCTCCAAGTATTCTCGACCACTCCTGGCCCGCCAGCTTCACTCAACAGCGCTAGTATATTCTTATCAGTCACTTCTGGCTAGTAGTGAGTATTATGGACCGTCCAGGTCAGAACCACTCCTAGTCCAAGTATTCTTGACCACTCCTGGCCCGCCAGCTTCACTCACCAGCGCTAGTATTCTTTAATCAGCCTCTTCAGGCTCGAAGTGAGTATTCTTTGATAAGCCCCTTCGGGCTTTACAAGTATTCTTTTCCTAGCCTCTTCAGGCTTTACAATATGGGCTAAACAAGTTTGGTTTGAGTGTATAATTTACCCTCATAGAGAGGATACATAGGTTTCTACACTCACTAAGGTATGCAACCTTAGTCTTTACAATGATTGAGTGT